TGTACATACATACATACATACATACATATTGTACATACATACATACATGCATCGTTATCAGATGGAATGCGAAATGATTTTCAAAGTTGTAAACCAGAAGTAGGAAAAAAAACAAAAACAAAAAACAAGCTACTAGGCACTTAGTAGATTACAAATTTTAAAAAATGTTAACAGTCCATATAAAGTCTACCCACGATCCCGTTATGGCATGCCCAAAACCTGAACGTAGGCAAGAACTCTGTTTTATTTACTTCTGAGCTGTCACTATGTCAGCACACAGCAATACTGTAACCAAAATGCATTGACCCAAAAGTTTTAGCTATTATAAAGCTCACCCTGAAATATGAATCCAATGCAATCACAGCATGATCTTCTCTTTCAGAACTATTGCACTGAATGCGAATATAACTGTTTTCAGACCTTTCTTCAAGGCATTCCACGACCTAAACACTGTTCCCACGAGAACTAGGATAACATCACTTCAGTATTCCTAAAGCAAGTCGTTCAATAAAATAATCGGAAATAACCCAAATGAACAATATTTTCGAAGGTAACTCACACTAGGGAGATTTCCGTAAGCCACAACAAATTACTTTCCTAGTATTATATTTCACTCGCATCAAAAAACAACTTGCTTGTAGCATCAACATCTACAAAAAATTATCAAAGAAAATGAAGAGAATAAAAAATGTTGTTCGGAAACATACCTTTGCCATTTCGTCGGTACACGAAGCAATGGGTAACTTTTGGAATTTGTTGTACAGATGCTCTAAAATGTCTACTTTGTCCTCTATCTTTTAGTGAAGGCAAGCATGATAACCTGTGAGTTTACGAGAATCAGGATTAAGCAGTAGCTGTAGCAAAATCAAGTCTTTATTGTGTAATGCATCCTTCTTTTCTTTTTCTCATTCTCAAGTGTTCATGTTTATGCGGTCGAAGGTACTTTTCTTTGAGTGAACCACTTTACATTCTCTGAAATACTGTTTGCCAGAACTGGCTCTGTACCGAATGGGACCATACCCTTTTCTAAAACGAAGACTCTGCTCTGTGTTGCCGTGCAGACCATTTGTCGTTTAGATTGAAGGCACAGTTTACTGTAATTTTGGGCAATCCAGATTATGACTAAAAATGGAAGATAAGATGGAAAATAGTGCGATGAAGGCGGAGGAACTGCGTGAATCGGTGTTACCAAAGTGAAAAAGGCTTCGAAAAATCGCTAACAAGGGGGCTGGCCTAGAATGCGACCAGAAAAATGAAGAGTGGGGCGTTTGGACGAGCTGTACAATGTGGGTCATTGCGTACGTGTGGGTCCTGATGCAAATAACTGACTACGGGTCAGCAAAAAATTCTTTCACTTATAAGCATAAGTAACAAAAAACCTTGGTAACAGCGAAAATAGCCCACCTTTTTTAGCATCCTGTGATAGAATAATGAATTAGGGATCGCGGCAGCAAAAAAGATAACAGACGAAAAAAGAATGGGAGAAAAACATGCCTCATCACTCGGCGATCATCTGATTGTGTGTGGGCCCTAGAACGAATAATTGCAATCTGTATCGTCTCCACACTCATCTGGCGTGACATCGGTCGAGGGGCGGTAAAGCCCCGCGAGCCAGCAACAGGGAATTATCGTGAACTGTGCCTTTGATAATCACCTCTCGAAGTCTACTGATGTTCTCAAATGCTTTATAAACGGTGCATGTAACCATAAATTAGCGCAAGACATTGTGGGAGCGACCACCATTTGAAAAAGACTTGGGCATACTCGAAAAGATTTCAACAATGATAGGAGAACACAACTACTGAGTTGACTCGCATCTCCCCAGACCCTTGAAGATAGGAAAATCGGTTACTTACAGAACCTTTAACAATACTTGACATATCACTCATATCAGTACAGTGGATTCCTGAGAAATCTCCAAGCCGTCATCCTCATCGAAAAGTATGCGCACTGCTTTGTAATGCAGTCTCTCTACTATTAGAAGTTCCACCATTCAACGTGCTTTTGCTGAAGTGATGGGAGAGCGCACAAAGAAGATGAGACTGGAAGGTGATTCCTACCAGAACGTAACGAAGTACAGCATTTCCTTTACTTTTGCTCCTTTTCATTCTTGTTGTATTCTTTTCCTCTGCACTACGGTTTGTACAGTCTAACAAGCGCAGCAGTTAGAGACTCAATATGTTAGGAGTGCGCCAGATGAGATCACACGAACCGTAGAGTCAGCACTGTTTTCACCAGTCAGACAAGCACAGCAGTTAGAGACTCGACCTGATTAGAGTGCGCCAGACGAGGGCAGAAAAATGACGCGGCAGGCAAATTTAAAGGAACCGAGTGGTGCGAGAGTTCTGTAGTGAACACGTGAACATAATTCTCCAAGTGTCATGGAGAATTATAAGGTATAAATGATTCTTAGGTGGCGACTTGCACGTATGATGTCGACGTTTCTTACCAATCGTGGATTCTCAATTGGAATCGGTGACGTTCATTCAAGTGCACGGTTACTCAGAGAGAAGGAAATTTTGTTGGGTGATGGTAAGAACTATTTGTAATTTTAGTTGTTTTCAGATTTGTTTTTGTCAATGTTTAGGCTATAAAAAGTGTCATGAGTATATTGCTCTACTCAAGTCCGGCCAGCTGAAAGGACAACCTGGTTGTACTGATGAAGAGACACTCGAGGCATTGATTCTACGCGAGTTATCATCAATTCGTGATAAGGCTGGTAAAGCCTGCGTTGAAAATCTATCTAAGTATGTTCTAGCGACGAGGTTGATGCTGTATACTTAGATAGACAGTTTTTCTTCTTAAATGTCAGACACAATGCTCCTTTGACCATGGCGGTTTGTGGGTCAAAAGGATCGTTTATCAACATATCGCAGATGATTGCATGCGTAGGCCAACAGGCTATCTCCGGGCATCGCCCCCCCGATGGATTTGATGTGAGACTCTTGCACGCCTCTTTTCTGAGTTTGTTTTATTGGTCTCTATTTTAGAAACGCTGTCTTCCTCACTTCGAGAAGCTCCAAATGACCCCGGAGGCCAAAGGATTTGTTGAAAACAGTTTCTTTTCTGGCCTCACTCCTACAGAGTTCTTTTTTCACACTATGGGTGGTATGTGCCGATTCTTTCATCTACAAACCTATCAATTATGTACACTAACCTTCAAAACCTACTCTTCGTTTAGGACGTGAAGGACTTGTGGATACTGCTGTAAAGACAGCTGAAACGGGATATATGCAGCGGCGACTAGTGAAGTGCCTTGAAGTGAGTTTTACCTGGATGACGTAAAGTGTTCGTTAAGAAATAGTTCGGTCCCGATTCTTCGGGTGCGCTCCGTTCCGCGCGCCTGTCGGAACTAGGTCACGCCGTAGCCGTCCCTTACCACACGTCAGCCCGCGATTCCTGGCGGACGTCAAAGTTGTCGATGAGGCGTACGTGAAGAGTCCGCTCTGCTTAGAGGCGCAGTTCACGATAATTTTGAGTTATCCAGATTATGCCGAAAAGCGAAAGTGCGATAGTGCGATGGAGGCGAAGAAAACGCACGAATCGGTGTTCCCAAAGTGACAAAAGGCTTTGAAAAAGTCATTGAAAAGGGGACTGGAAAGTATGTGTGCGGGTGGTTCAGAGGTTGTTTATAAGGGCTCCGGTGGTAACGGAGTAAATATAACATAATAATATAGTAAGTGCGGTCGTTCCCGCTATAACAGTACACAATAATGGTAAGCAATACTTTATAAGGCAGGCAACTTACGTCTTGCTTCGACGACTTAAGGAAGAGAATTTCATATATTCAGAATTTCATAGAATTTCAATGGGAATCCAAATGGGCATATATACATGACAATATGATGAAATGCATCTACACGACGGCTCGATATTTGTTTTTCTTGATGATTGAATGTGGCCGTGTCGTAGTTGCTGGGAGGGTTCACGGGATTCTGGCAATTGAGACGAAGGGGAGATCATTGTGAAGTAAAGAGAATTAGTATTAACATGAGGAATTTATCACGAGCTCGGAGGAGATGAATGAATAAGCGCTTTTCCTTGGCAATCTATTCACCTGTGAGCCTTTCGGCGCTTACCTGGGAGTCGTTGAAGATCGAGCAGACGAAGTTTGTTGCGGTTGAGTCGATGGAGTTTGTTGCGTTTACGAACGCGTTTGAAACAACTATACTGGTTAACGCCCAACCTAATATCGAGTCAAATGGTATTGCTCTATACTTGGGGTTATCCCTCGTCAGGGTTTGGGTCGATTTGGGCAGCAAAAAGATGTAGCTGTCTCATTCAATGATCATATCTAATTTTTTGATTTATCAGTCATAGTGGTTATTTATATAACGTATGCGCAAATAATGTTTATAACGTTCAAATCATGTTTGAACAAATAGTATTTGCAAGCAATTAGTTGGAGTGGATTAGATCAAAGTCCGTTTTAGTAACCCGCCGTTTTTTGAGTAAGTAATTTGGAGAACAGCAATACAGCAATCGAC